AAATAGTTAGGGGTGTCTTTTGCAAAGACTATACCCCACCAGAACAAATTGTTAAAAATCATCAAATTGTTACAACAACCATGTAAGGCCCACCAGGCCGATCTGGTAATAAATAAATTTAAAAAAAACTCCGCTATTATTTTTCTAGGAGCAACTTAAATGGGTAGAGAATGGTTATGCAGAGTGTTCCGTAAGTAGAAGGAAATATTTAAAAGGTTGATAGAAGACATCTAGATCTACAAAAAAGTTCATATAAACAATTGGCCAGTTTTCAGCAGAAAAGTAGGAAATTTAACATTTCAGTTTTTTTTAAAGCATCACGCTTTTTGTTGGTTAGGAAGCGATAACTGAAAAAATATTTAATTTAAGTAAAACAACATTACTCCATAGTGAAGTAGATAAAATTTACTTTAAACGAAAGTAGAGTTTTTCATTGTTGAAACCATTTAAATAAGACTGTTGAGCGCCAAACACAGCTAAGTTTCATTTTAAAAAAGTCATAAATTATTTGTGATTTTTTTTTTATCACCCTTCAACTGTACTACAGTTACTCCATTTTTAAAAAAACTTACTCGTTTCATTAGCTTTAATTCCATATTAATTAACTTGAGGTTTATGAGTACATTTTTTTAGAATCACCTCAAGTTGTGTTTTCAGCAAAAATTGCTACAATTAACTGTTGCAAAGATTAGTGAACTAAAATGGAATATGAAAGATGAAATTATCTTTTTAAACGAATAGTAAATATATATTTTTACTTCCAATTTTATTTATTTCATTTTTAATACTTTCTCTCATTTTTACCTCTTTCTCTATGTATATATTTTTTTACTTCAAAACTTTTTTATGCCTACTAGTGCAATATGATATTTTATGTTTTATTACTGCATATTTTGCTCCATATTTAAAGGTTTTTACTGCATAATCTGTGCCTTCCTTATGATTAATGAAATAATTATTTTTATCAAAAGCATGCGAGAAAACCGTGGCTGTTATCCTGTACAGCGCCATTTATTCTGTGCAGGTCCATTTGCAATATTTATGATAATTTAATATTTATTTTATTTATAATAATACAATATTATATTAATGATCAAATAATATTAATATAATATAAATATTTATTATTGCGATATACTGATATTACACTGGTCACCTTAAATCTGAATATATATATATATATATATATATATATATATATATATATATATATATATATATATATATATATATCAATGTATGTTTTGTTAATATAAATATTTGCATTTACTTTTTTCTTTGCTTTGATTCAGTAATTGTGTTACAAGTTTATTTTCTGTATATCATTTTCAAAAGATCTTCACCGTATATAATACGGTGGCAAAGAACTTTTTTCCGGCTCTCAGGAGCGATGGGTTCTGATTAATGAGGTATTTTGATCCTTAAATTTCTTTAACAACTCTTATAAAATTCATGCAAAACTCAGATAGTTTCATAGTCAATGAATCGAGACGAGATAAATTGTTTTATATATTTTGACACCCAAATCCCAAAAATGTTTTGTTTTCGACATACATCGTAATCCTTGCCGAATACCTCGTATGTGTTGTGGTTGCCATGGGATACTTATCACGTGTTTAGGTTTTAACAATTAAAATATTGCTTTTGGTTCATTATTTTCATTAATGAACCATTGTAATCGTCCAAAAATTCAAAAACTTATTCCCTCTTCCTACCAAAAAATTGAAGTTTTGCGGTTTAGGATAGGTATAACTCGAAAATCTAATAATAAAATGTTTGTGATCTCCTACCTCGACATAACTATCCGCCCTTTCAAGATGGCGGATTAAAAACCTACGTTGCTATAGACTGTAGCGCCTTAACGAATGTACCGATTCCAATGAAACTTGGCTTAAGTCTTCTCCCCGATGCCCTTTAAATATATGTGTAGAAGATACTTCACCGAAAAGTACTTCTCTTTCAAGGTAGCGGCCGAAACATCTGCGTCGTGTAGACTGAAGGGCCTCATTGGATATTCCAATTTCAATAAAACTAGAATCTTCTCTTCCGAAGCCCTTAAAGTTTATCTATAAAACGAACTTCAAAGAAAAGAAGCTGAAAAAGAAAGTTACGAGGGGTCGTAAAATTTGATTTCCGAATTACTCATAAAGTATACTCTTTTTTCTTGATGTTGTGATCATTTGAAAGTTTGCGAAATTTTCTAAATAAAAAAAAATTGTTGAAATCGGATAATTTGGTGCATAGATGTGGTTTTTGAAATATTTTTCATTTGTTCTACTGCAAAACTTATTTCATTTGTTTGGTTTTTGATATCCTGAAAGTGTTACATCAACTGAAGCAATGTCTTTTATTTTTCTTAAATTATTACTAATGATGAATTAAAAATTATTTAGGGCAATATTAGGAATCGCCTTTTATTTATTTTTTCCTCATGTTATAAGGAAGTAATGTTATTTTGATATATAACTGTTTGGAAACAATAAACCATTGTGTAATAATTTCCAGCGTTTTTATATTAATCTTCGACGAACTAAAAGTCTATTAAAAAAATATGGAAAAGAGTATATTTCTTTTTTGATACTTATAAGAAGTAAATAAAAATAATATTCAGGTTTTCATAATATCTTTTATATACTTCCTTACCCTCAGTAAGTGAGAATACTACAAACGAAGGATTTTCTGCACAAAAAAAAAAAAATAGTCTTAAGCGAGTTCAACATTGTATTAGTTTAAGTTCTGGAGTTGCTGTGTCTATAAGGAATATTTTGAAATGGGATAATCTGATCAATTGTCACTTTACATTTTGTGTGCTAAATAGACTATCCGGATCATATCATAACTAGTTTAATTTATTGTTAAATTCATTCTGTTGTTTAGTTGAGTAGAAATTTATTATTACCATTTATATGCTGTATAACAATTAACAAATAATGTAAGTAAAGCTGAACGCCACCTGCCTCCGCGATCTAGTTGAGATTGACTTATTGATTCAAACAATTGAGTAAACCTCCATAAAAAATATCGATATAAATATTATATTTATGTATACTTTATATATAATAATAATAATGATAATAAATGGGTATGTCATTGATATAGTAATTCCAACCGATGATAATATCGGAAAGACTATTTCTGAAAAGATTAGGAAATATCAAGATTTGTGCCAACTTTAGATAGATAGATAGAAGATAGATAGAAAAAAAAACTTTATTCTGGGACTAAGCCCCTTCAGAATAACAATAATGTACAAAATAATAGAATATTACTGGCCTGAAGGTTGAAACAATAAATAAAATTGATAAAATAAAATAAAAAGTAAAGAAAACCTTAGGTGCACAAGCTATATACAAACAGATAGAACTATGTACAGAGCATTTAAAATTATGAACAAAACAATTAAAACTATGAACGAATCACTTGAACTATGAACAAAATTATATTTAAGGGTTGAACAACATAAACATACACTTTGAGAAATGAAGAACGAAAAAGAGATACAATGAGTTCATTTCATAAAAAAAAAAAAAAAAAAAAACTTTACTTGAATATATATATAAAAACAAACAGTTACTTATAATTGAATAAAAAAAATAAATAAAAAAAAATGTATGTATTGAAATTCCTACGTCGATATAGGAAATGCATGTACTATCTCTTACCAAGTGTTATGATATATGATTGCTACACAATACATATATAATATCAATAGTTAGCTGGTATCAGACTGTTTTTGGAACAGGAATTGGAATAGGAGGTTTTTGAATGTATACAGGGAAGGGGCATGTCGAATTTTGATCGGGAGGGAATTCCAAAAGTTGACAGAGCGGGCTATAAAGGAATTTTGGAATGAGGCCGATCTATGAAAGGGATGTATAGGTCAGAGGGTCGGGATCTTGTAGTGAGTGAATGGATTGAGGACTTAAATTGGAGAAGGTTGTAGGCATAAGAAGGACGATGGTCGGTAATGATTTGATAAAGGAAAGTGCCAAGGAAATATTGTCTTCTTAAGGAGGGGAAGAGCCACCCTAACTCAGTGTAGTGGTGGGAGACACGGGAGCGTCTCGGGGTTCCAATTACAAATCTTACGAAGCAATTCATAAGTCTTTTGAGTCTATCACGCAGTTCCACCGAGAGGCCATCGTACACCACACAGCTGTAGTCAAAGTGGGGAAAGATGAGAGAGGAAACTATGAGTCTACGGGTATTTTGGGGTAGAAGATGGCGGAAGTGATGGAATAGTTTGAGGGTAGAAATTGCACGGCGGGATATATGAGAGATATGGTGATTCCAGGAAAGGGTTTGATCTATGAGAAAGCCTAAATTTTTAACAAAGGGATAGAAGGTGATGGGGGGTTGTTTAGATAGAGTGAGGGAAAGTTGGTGTGGGATCTAAGAAGGGGCTTGGAACCAATGAGAATGGCCTGAGTTTTGGCCTTTATGTTTATTTAACTTTATAAAGTGAATCAAGTACAGGTATATCCAATTGTAATTTACAGCAATGGGCTCATCCCAGACTATACCGTTCGCTCTGTCGAACATTTGAAACTGCCAGAGAAAGTGTTGGAAGAAGGGCAAAAAGCAGCTAGGCACAGCGAACATCGTCAGGAAGTTCTTAAACATAGTTTAACTTTTGAACCTATCCCTCGACCTTGGTCCGGTTATTTTTGGCAAAAGTCAAGAAAGTGTGAAATTCGAAAATAATCTTTTATTTATTCTGAGACGAATCCCTTTAGAAAAATTAGCAAGGGCAGAAAAGTGGGCTTTTGAGCCTCAGATATATATATATAAATGTATTTACTAAGTAAACTAATAGATATAATAGAAAACAAATAATAAAAAAAAAAACTAGATACATAGTGTACCCTTTTTTTATGAATAATTCATGAAAAACAACCTATTCGGCTTTAGTATGCTCATAAATAATATATTCATAATCCCGTCAACGTTTCGGTTAACCGCTCCACTCCAGCTGATTCCGTAATTGCGGTACCTTTTTCTTAACCTTTCGTCTTCTCGGATACGAACTGCTCATCGCCGCTAGATCCACTGCCCTCCCGAATGACAGCACCCTGGGTCCCTCCATTAGTAGTCCGATCAGCCTTGAAGCAGTCATTCGGAAATGCTGAATTGAGAATTCCTCCTGTGTCCGGCGAGGATGCCACGTGGCCTGCCCAATTACTCCATAGATTCAACTACCGTCCTTTTTTTTCTTTTTTTATCTTATTGATCTTTTCCATCGGAGGTTCATTAGGATTCCGACAGCAGCTGCATATTCAATCGGTTTTGTCCTCTAGGATAGGAGAGGTGCTAGATTGGTTTTGTAAATGCAGATTAACCTCACCGGTATATTGCACAAGTTTGCCTAATCCAATAAATTTGGTCCCACTTCATCTAATTGAAATTTTAACTTATATGGAAATAAATATATTGGAATGAAAACCCAATTAATTTTTCCTTTTAATACTCTGGTAATTGACGAATTTTAATTGGACCTATTAGTGGAGAAAAGTTTACTGAACGATTTTGTGGTAATATCGTTTATATAATATTTTAAGGAAATTATTTAGCCGATTAGTTTTTATTTATTTTTCCTCTCTGTCTCAAGGAATAATTAGCAGTAAGTTTTTTATACTTAATCATAATACTTCGTTTCATTTAGGTATTGAGACAAAATGTTGCTTTTCTCTAAATTATCTTGTAAGATATTTTTAATTTTTTTCTGATTGGTTTAAACTTCAAAGGCACTGGATTGGTAAGTTTGACGAAAATATAATTTCTTCTCTTCTCGATTTTCTTGTGTTTGTTGCTCTCCGTTTTTATTATTTTTATCCAATAGTTCGGATTGTTTCATCCTCCATCTATTTGCTCAGTTTTCTAGCAGCCTTTTTCTTTCATTGGTTATCAAATGTTCTAATGCAATATATTTTGTTGCCGTTATGGATGTTACCTTTATCTTCATAGCTAAATGGGCAGCTTGATCTGCTTTTTCATTGCCCAAGATACCACTGTGTGATAAAACTCGAACAAGGGTCGCATTCATTGTTCTTTTTATTATCTCACAACGTAGTTTCAATATTTCATTAATTAGGGAATTACTTATTCTGGCAATGGATTTTTAATTTCCGCCAAGACTTTTTGTATGATTTCTCTAATGGTTTTTATGAAAGATTTAAAATTTATTTTTTAGTTAACTAAATAATTGCGCTTATTTAGATTATTTTTCGTAGGATTTTAGATTATATTCAAGTGAATTCGATTGTTTTGTGGAATCTCCATGCTCAAGCGTATCTATTGAGGTCTTATGATGGTAGGAATATCTTAGAAGATTTTATAATAAATTGGAAGTTTGGAGAATTTGTCAAGTATATCTACCGACATCTGTGTTTTTGTTCTGATATAAGGATGGTAGATCTGTTCGACAAAATGGAAAATATTTAGTTTTATGAAACCTAATTATTTTATAGTTTCATTTTATGTCTGCCTTCGCTTTTACAGTTACTTGTGGTATGATTTTGAAGCATTGCACTGATTATATTTGCAAACAAATATGATTCGTTTCATATGTTGGTTAGGATTTATCATTCCTCATTTTCGATAAAGGATATTCTCCAGGCTAAAAATGAAGATAAAGGATGTTTTCATAAATAAAGAAGCGTGTTTCAGGCCAAAGGGATGCAGAACTTCTTGCGCCATTAATAATTCACAAAATATTGGACCTTTCTATGCCCTCCAACAACTCTCTCCTCGTTAAAAGATCCCATCTGTTTACATTCAAGATTTTTTTGTCCTATAGTTTGGTGTATTAAAAAAAGATCAAAAATATATTGGACCTTTTGGTAAGAAATTAAAATAAAGGCTTTTTATGTATTTGAAGATTTAATAATCGTATTTAATAAGCTATAGATACAGTCCACTAAAAATCACAAATCAAAAGTACCAGATGAAAAGGAACATTTATTGCGAAAAATGTGGGAAAAGTTTATATATTTTTTTAAACTTGCATATATGGGTTTAAAAATGTAAAAAGAAAAAACATTTTTTAAATAAGAAAAAACTAGGATTTTTTCGATCTTTTTTTGTTGTTTCAACTCCTTAGTTGTGCATCGAAGCCAAAATCGTACGTTTTAAGAAATTAAAGAATGTTTAGTTTGCGCGTTGAACGAATACCTAAAATCTTTATAATTTGGTTAAATGTTAAGGTCGATAACCACGCTTAACGAACCTGAATTTTACCAATTTTATCAAAAACTGGGACAAATTAATATAAATGGCCCTGCTACTTGGAAATGAGTTTCCTAAGAGGAAAAACTTGTAGAATTAAAGTTGTAAAGCATCGAAGTTTACATTCACTAAGTACTCACATTTTTAATTTAGGTCAATTATATCTCTCGAATCGGGATTCTTTATTTCTTCATGAAATTTGCTTTCTTTTAATACCTCGCTTCTCAAAATAATTCGCATACATTAGATATTTCCTTTTGTTTATTGTTTACTATTGCCATAGAGCCATCTTGTTTTGTACTCTCTCACAATATAATCTGTAACCATGGGATACTTATTCCTTTCTATTTTAGGTTGGGAAGATATAACGGATGTGTATTGTATTCAGTTTTCCTTTAATTAGTTTTTTTTTCCTTTCCTTAGGATTACCGAGAAATCACAGCTCCTTATTTTTGGATTCGAATATTTTTTTTGTCTCACGTGTCGAGCCAATCCGCTTATCCACTTCAGGCACAATCAGTCCAGTCAGAATTCTGACCTTCGTGACTTCACGAGTGATAGTTGACTGACTCATCCGGTGTTACACACCATCTTGAATCATCTTAACATCTGTGAGAGCGGATTGTTTAGCATACAATACCGCATTACCTGTATACTATTTCCTTAGTTAGTTAAGTGTCGATTCTTAGGCACCGATGAATTGGTTTAGAGCAGTTCTAAATTCTAAGAATGATACTGACTTAGTAACACTTGTAAGTAGACAAATTAATTCTCTTATAAATGTATGTTTATATATACAGGGTGTCCCGTAAGTAGAGGGAAATATATAGAAGTTGGAAAGATTAGAAGGTTGTAAACGTTTCCATTGCCCTCTACTGTGTGTGGGTTCGAAACGTGACTTACACAATATTCGGATCGTTAACACTCTTCCGGTCCTTCCTTTGAAAATAGGACTTTAGACATAGAACTCAAAAAATACAATAAATCATTGGAATGTAGGTACGTGAGTGAGTTGATCTCTACAACGCAAAGATTTATTCATTTTGTTCTGTCGCTATAGTATAAATACTATAGTATTGCACCGTATAGTATAATACGATTACATTAAGTTCACAAAACTAGTATATAACTAACATTATTTATAAATTTAAACTAATTATTCGTGTATTTGACATGATCTTAGTAGTTTTTCGATAGCTCTTGGCACATTTTAAAAATAGTATATCACTTTATATATTTTCTAAAAAGCATTTTTGAGAATTAGCAGTGATTTATATTTCTGATTTGATTACATTAACAGAAAATCTAATTCTCTTTTAAGTATCGATTGTTTTGGAGAATGAACCTCCCAACCTTACGTTACATGTTACATAATGACAGCCGAAAAACCTTTGTAGCGCCGAAACGCAAACGCCTGTAACGATTTTAATAAAACTTGCCTCAAGTCTTCTCCTTGAAGACCTATAATTTTTTTATTGGCGAATTACTCGATATGTACTCACGTTTTGCTCTTTTTTTATAGTAAATATTTCAAAGGTAATTAAATTTTTTAAAAGAGGCGAAAAAGATACTTCGAAATCGGAGCTGTATTAGTAAAGATATAGCGTTTTGAACTTTCTTATTTATTTATTTTATTTTCCTCCCTACCCTGCCTTTAAGACAATACGGGAGTTTGCAGCAGTGACTTGATACACATTGTATAACAAATCACTGTTGCATGTTTATCTATTTACATTTTTAAATTGCTGTGCACACAGCCTGCTTGATAATTTTGTCACTTAGTTATTGTTCTCCATCTTCTTCTCCTGTCCTAATTAGCGGCCTTCCAGGTACTGCTTCTTCACGCCTTCCCAGGGAGAAGTGGGTTGGGCCCACAGTTTTTTTCCAGCCGCATACGAAACTTTTAAAGTGCGGGTAGTTTTGTTCAGACATTAGTTGGGGTAATTGTCCTTCTGTAAGAACGAAAAGCCCTGTATCCCTCATTAATTTGGCCCTCAGTGCCTCATAGCTGGTGCAGGCTACAAGGATGTGCTCAGCGGTTTCAGGTACTCCACAAGTGGGGCATAAGGGGTCGATATTTTTACCGTGTTTAAAAAGTTTTGCTCTGAAACCCCCATGCCCCGTGAGGATCTGTGAGACCCAGTAGTCCGGGAGGACCCATTTCTTTTCTAAGCGCGATTTAATGGTGGGAAAGAATTTTCTTAGTGTGGACCCGTTTGGGGTTGTCACCCATCGCCGATTCCATTGTTCCAATGTATCCTCCCGGAGGATCATCTTCCATCTTCTGGGGTCATCACAAATCCTCTCCCGAATGTTTGCTGGTAAATCCGCCAAGTCATCCCTCTTAATGTTGTACCGATAAAGGTCTTCCCGCAGAAGGAGGTCGAGAGGAATACCTCCTCCTAAGACCTGCACCGCCTCATGGGACACAGTTCTGTATGACCTGGTTACTCTAAGCAGGGCCATCCGCTGGATTGTTGCCAACTTGCGCTTCTGACGGTACGAGAGATTCCGGTTCCATGCGGGGGACGCGTATCTCAGGATACCAACAACTACTCCTTTATAAATGGACATAGTTGCTGGATATCTAAGGCCCCAAAAGGCCCCCCCTATGCGACTGAGACCATTAAGGGCTAAGGTTATCCTATTCCTTAAGTAATCCAAGTGAGGCGTCACGTTGAATTTTTTCCCAATCCTAATTCCAAGATAGGTGACTACCTCACTTGGACATATTCTGGAACCTTGTATCACCAAGGTTATGGGGTGTGCCCTATCGGTCGAACCTCTCAAGAGGATGGCCTGAGTCTTGGAACCCGCCATCCTTAACTTCTTTTTCTCGCACCATTCTTCTACAAGGTTGGCACAACGTTCAGCTTCATATTTTAATCTGGCCCTGCTATTCGAGGCCACTACAACAGCCAGGTCATCTACATATGCAGTGGCGGGGAACCGCTCCTGTTCTAGCACTCCCAGCAACTCGTCAAAGACCAGTTTCCATAGGGCAGGGCCAAGGACAGAGCCCTGTGGACAGCCCCTTTCCACTGTATCTTCTACTTCATAGAAGCTACCTTTAATCTTCAATGTCCTATCGTGGAGATAGCTTCTGATCAAGCCATACAAGTTGCTGGGGGCTTCATGCCTTTGCAACTGCTGGAGTACGCTCGGCCACCAGACGCTATCGAAGGCGGATGATATGTCAAACAGGAGGAGCATAACATACTTCTCCGCCTTCTCTTCAACATCACAGCGCACTCTCAGCAGGGCATCTGCGGTTCCCCTGCCTTTAGAGGATCCGTACTGCCGTGGATGGCTCGCTCTCGAGAAGACTGGCCGTAGGCTGGTGAGTATCAGGTTTTCTAACACCTTGCTCATGACTGGGAGGAGACATATAGGTCTATAAGATTTGGCTAATTGCTTATCTTTGTCTCCTCCTTTGTAAATGAGCTTGACGTTAGCGATTTTCCAGATTCTTGGGAAGTATTCCCTGTCTAGGCAATCATTATAAATAGCCAGCAATCTTTCCTCTATATAGGGAATACTGTTCTTGAAAATTGACGCGTCAATGGTGTCTAAACCGGGGGCACGACCAATCTTTTGCTTGTCCACGGCAGTGCGAAGATCCCATATGTCCCATGGTGGGCACAGGTCCGTGCCGGGAGGGTATACCGTAGTGCGTCTTACGAACTCCTCCTCTTCATTATCTTGAGATGGATCATCCCTGGGGTAAGTCTCTGTAATAAACATCTTCGCCGATTCTTCTGGAGTTTTTGCCTGAGTACCGTCATACTTTATCGCTGCGATTACTTGCATTGGAGTCAATTTACCCAAGGCTACTTTGTACGGGATACCCCAGGGGTTTTTAGATGATTCCTCAACGATGAATTCATCCCAAGACCTACGTTTATGTAGACGCACCTCGTTTCGGTATACCCTGGCTTTAGACCTGTACTCGTCACGAAGAGTAGTGCGCCTCTCATCGCAACTACACCGCTGGTACGAACGCCGGGCCTTGTAGAGCTCTCTCTTCATGGTGGTTAAAGCCGGCGTCCACCATGGGACAGGTTTAGCTCTCGCCTTCCGGTGCTGGAGAGAGTCCTCAGCGGCATCACGGATGATGTCAGTGATTCTCGAAACCCTGTAATCCAGGTCATCAGTGTAATCCGTTTCCGCCACATCCCAGTCATCGTCGACTAGTTTTTCTTCCAGCGTTGACCGGAAGGCATTCCAATCTCCTTTCCGAGTTCTGTAACCCTTATTTATACCGTGGGAACTTACCATGTTTTGTACCATTGAAAATACTATAGCATGGTGGTCGGAACTCGTCTCAGATCTGAGGGTCCAATCGATAAGGCGATTTGACAGCGCAGGCGAAGCCATCGTGACATCTATCCAACTCTGCCCTCTTCCTCCTGAGAAGGTAGGTGTGGCAGAAGGATCGTTTAGTACTACAAGCTGGCATCTCGCGATAAAATCATCCAGTTTAGCGCCTCTTCTATTCGTTCGATTGGATCCCCAGACCGTGTTCCAAGAATTTGTATCTGAGCATATAATGACGTTTCTTGTGCAAGCTGAGATCGTCTCCATGGCGGATATACCTTCTTCAATATCGCTTCCATCAGGTAGGTACGAGGAGACCAGCGTAAAAGCTACACTTCCCCACCTGATGTAACATGCAACGCAATCCGCCGTAGTATGCTGCCTCAGATCCATCACATCGAGGTTTGGGTTATTAACCACGATAGCAGCCCTGGGCCTCCTCTCTCCACTGCTCAGGGCTATAACCCTCGACGTGAGGCCAAATCCTGTGACCATGTTCCCACGGCATGTCGGTTCCTGAACCGCCATGATATCGTATCGGTCAGAATGGGCTCGGAGTTCGTCTGCCACGATACGCCGGCGGCCCATGTTTAACTGCAGAATGTTTATTTTACTCATAATAGGTCTTTTTCACTACTTCATCGGCCCACTGTAAGTGTACTTGGCAGTCCCGACTGCCCGCCTTGTGATTCCTTTGGTTGGGAGATGCATTCGCTCGCACGCAGTTAATACACGTTGGCCCAACCTGTTGTTTTTTTTTTGGACAGTCCTTCAGTATATGTCCGCTTGCTGCACACCAGATGCAGATGACATTGTCAGCTTGGCAAGTGGCCTTTGTGTGGCCATAGCCCTGACATTTAGAGCAACGCGGGGCGTCAATGTAATCCCTGAAGGTCATCGACCACCATCCTCCATCCAAGTTTCCTACTTCTAGTAGCGCAAACCTGACCATTGGGTGGACTTCCAGGACCCAATTCTTGGAGAAGCCGTTCCTAGCGACTGTAGAGAACAATGGCCGAAGATCTTCAAGAACTAGTGGTGTAGGCCCCGACGTCTCGGGAATTTTTCCCCATAAAAATTCCACGAGTTGTATTGAAGTCCAGGCATGAGGCACGCCCCGGATCTCTAGTTTAGGCTTCTTCTTCAGAGCAAGCCTGGCTTGTAGACCTCTATCACGTAGCCCCTGGCATCCTATAACTTTGGTAGCATCTTTACCATCATCCATACGCACCAAGATGGAGCCTCCCTTAGTTTTAC